TTACGGTTTCTAAACGTAGTCCGTAGTGTACGAGTTCTTAGGTTTCTAAAGTGTCCTAGTGTACGATTCTTAGGTTTCTAAAGTGTCCAGTGACGATTCTTAGGTTTCAAAGTGTCCAGTGACGATTCTTAGGTTTCAAAGTGTCCAGTGACGATTCTTAGGTTTCAAAGTGTCCAGTGACGATTCTTAGGTTTCAAAGTGTCCAGTGACGATTCTTAGGTTTCAAAGTGTCCAGTGACGATTCTTAGGTTTCAAACCCCCTATTTATTGCATTTTTAAAACACATGTTTTTTTTGGCAAAGTCTCACTTGGAAACACACATACATACTGTACCGTAAAATGTAGTAAATTTATAGATTGTGAGATAAATAAGATTGTTCTTCTGTACTTCACTTACAACACAAATACGTAACCTAAAACCTTGTTGTATAGATTTACAGACCTTGTCGTATCGATTTACATATATATATAGCACCTCAGTTCTGAATCCCAGTTAATTGCATATTTATCAACAATGAGACCACAAGGTATGAATAGCGGTCGTGGTCGTGGTGGAAGTGACAGAGGAAGGGGTGGGCGTGGGGGCATGCGTGGAAGAGGGCGTGGGGGGATGGGCATTGAGAAGTTCGCCTTCGGGAAAACAAGTACATACCAGAAACACGACGCTAACAGTGAAGCCCGCAAGCACAAGCGAGCTGTGGTGACCAAGTATAAGCGAATGCTGAAGGCAGAGGGAGGAAAGGTTGATGACAGCGCGAATAGTAGAGTGGATGGGGTCATTGAACGCATCGGTGACGAGGAGATCACGACTGAGGTGAGGCGGTGGGACTCTGAAGGAGGCGATTCTGATGGCGGCAATGATGATAGTGTTACAGTGAGCGAACCCTCCATAAAGGCAGTGCACGATAAGACAAGAAAAAATAAGTCTGATCCCTATGCGAAACAAAAAGCTATCGCCGAAGCGAACAAGGCGGCAAGAGAGGCGGCCCAAAGGGTAAGTAATCAGTTGTTCTGATTGTCTATAGCTTATCGTCATTTTATTTAAGTTCAGAGGTCTTCTGCATGAATACAAAGCTTGAACGAGCTGGTTTTACAGGTTGTGGACAAAGTCTTGTTCCAATATGTGTTGCACATATCGCCACTTTTTTTATTGTTGCGAAATTCAATTATAGCGTACAAGGCAGTGCACCTATGCAGCTAGTTAGGCCTCGTATGCTTTCTATCCACTGATCCCCAACTACATTAAATACCTTCCAGAGGAAAGACGAAGAGATTAAGATGGCAGAGAAGAAGAAAGATCAAAGTGTCCGTACGCGAAAGAACAGGACAAAGAAGCTGCAGGCTAGAACGCCCAAGGGCCAACCAGTACTGCGTAACCAAATGAAAGATATATTGAAGACCCTGAATCGAGAGAAGTACAGTGCGAAGTCTAAATGAGCCCGGTAGGTATCTTTTGCTATGGAGCTTATAATTTAGTTTGAAAACTAAGGAAGAAAGTCAACCGAGGCCAAGTCCCTGACAATCCCACAGCCTTCCCGTGGTGACCCTTGAATTCATGCTACCTGTACTGAGGGCAAGGGCTGGCTATTGTGGAGGTACTTATTGATTAAGCCTGTTTTTTTAATCGTAGTGCGATGCAAGGAAAGGAAGCTGCAAAGCGCAGTATAGTAATAGTATGAAGTCAAGGAGGTATTCGCACCGTCTTAGACTACGGGTATGATATTGCAGTTGGTCATTGGAGAAGGTGTAGAGGTCAGCAGACATATGGCTTCACTAATCAGTGCTGTGTAGTATTGTTTGTGCTATCAAGTGCTTTAACCTACATCTTGTAAGTAGCACAGCTCGCTAAAATGGTAGAGCTTCCAATTGTGAAATGGAGGCATGGCGGAACAATCGAAGACCAGAAGCCTCACGAAGTATCAAAGGTGCAAGAGTGTTAAAAAGTTATAGCACGCCAAGCGAACTCTAGTATTAGTACCTGAACAGAACATAGCCTTGTGTAAGTCGCATTGAAGGCTATGAACAAAACATAAACCTTTCACAACAACTATCTGTATCTGATTGCTGGCAACAAGTCAACATCAATAACGAGTACTACAATTCGCTTGGCATTTCTGTCCCCTTCTAAATCCAAGAGCAAGAAACTGATTTTTCAGGTTCGATCGGGTTAACATTAGTACTACGACACGAATCTGCAGGGTGCAGAGGATAGCAAAAAAATGCGGGAATTAGGCATTCCTAAATCTCGAGTCATTTCTCATAGTTCTATTTAGGAGGCGATGCATTTCTAGAAAGCATATTTTATTGTAAATGTTTAAACGCGCTGGATATTCTTTGATTTTTTTGTAAAGAATTCAGGCATTCGCTATTTTCCTGTCGTACAACAATGAATAGCCGTTGCTCAAGTGGTGTACGCCGAGTGAAGCAATGTAAGCGTAGCAATCGTACCACGACGGGTAGCGCTGCAAACTCGCACCCGGGCCCATTGTGTCGCCTAAAACCTTCTTATTTCGGTCGTATAAGGATGTGCTGGAGGCGACCGCTAGTCTAGTAGAGACGTGAAGCAACGGGTACAGGAAAAGCTGAACCTGGCGCATCGGAATTGATATGCAGAACAGCTGGCCCACGGGTGTGCTGCGCAAAGTAAAGCGGATAGGAAATGATAGAGGTCAATGTCGCGAACGAGGCAATTTATGTGCGAGTCACACATTTCTCGATTTACGTAAAATCCAGCCCGAAGCAAAAGTCAATTGCAATCAATATTCTGCGTGGACACAATGTGGGTCGCAAAATAGATGCAGGATACCACACTTACACTTACAGTCCTAAGTGAAGGTCTAAATACACAAGCGAAAAGAGAAAGTAAGTTGAAGTGAAAGCCAATTATGAAAGTTATATCATAACAGTTGGATGAACAGCGCACCTGGCAACGTAACCGAGATCGATATTATCGATTCCAAACTCTTCATCTTCATCATCTGAATCGGTGCTAATCGTGGCTGACTCTTTCTCTGCAACATAACCATCTGCTGCATCTGTTTCAGTCAGAAGTAGCCATACGCAAGTGTGAGTATACTAACAACAGCATGGGCCGAAACCCAACTCTCTCTAGGAACATCAAAATAAATTCGCAACACACCATAACCGTGTATAAAGCAAGCGGAAACACATACCGACAGAGTCGGACTGTTTCTGTATATCGCCCAATATTTTTTTGCCCCATTCCTCTGCCTCCGCTGGAGTGTGTGGAACCAAGCGCACTACCAGCTGCCGGAGAGTATAAGCAGAAAGTGCATATAATACTGCGTACGCAATTCGTGGCTGAAAAATCGAATAAGAATATTAGCCAAGGTTAGAACTTGCGGTTCAGGACAACCGTCGCAATTCGAATCACACTATGTATATAAAGGATAGGATTCTCGCCTTCTGGATTCGCGCAAATATACAACCAAATCTCATTTAGTAGAGTGCGCATGAAGCTTAATTCTGATTGCTTGTCTCATCTTAACTAATTAATAATACATGGACAAATAATACATTGTAACAAAAGAAATTGTATACTACGACGCGATATATATATATATATATACTTTTTATATACATATACGATACACAATATATGTATATATGTATATACATACATACATACATACATACATATATATATATATATATACATGGTATAAATAAGATTGTGTATATGCACAGGTATATAAAAATAGAAGCATTTTTTTACACATGCGAGACAATACATATATACATACATATATATATATATATAAAGCTAGCTAGCTATATCTAAATACATATACCTATACCTATACCTATACATACATACATATACACATACATATAGATTTGCATCAACATCTATTTATACATCTATCCATATACGTCCACGTACAGATACAGATACAGATTCAAATACATACGTTATGTATATGCATATACATATATAGATATATATATATATATGGACGTAGATACAGGTGTAGATAAAAATGTAGACATATACAGATATAGATAGATTGATAGATGAATTAGTAGATAGATTAATAGATAGATGGACACAATATATATATATATATATATATATATATATATATATATGTATATAAATGTAGATATAATTATAAATATAGATATAGATATAGATATATATATATATATATATGACAATAATAATAATAATAATAATACAACTATTAATATATATACAATAATATATCAATGTACATATAGCAATATATATATATATATAGACAAAAATTTACTTGCAAGTGCATGACTGATATACGTGAATGTTTACACGCATGTGGGTGTATGTCTGAGTCCGTACGACTTTTTGTTTGTTTTGAAAACAGCTTCGAATTAAGGTATCTCTTTGTGACGACAGCCCTATGACTAAATACAATTGAACGGGCAACGTGATATACCTTTAGTGCCTCCGCTAAATCCTGCAAGGAACTATCTGTAACCACCCTCCATATGGCGAATGGATTGCTATAGCTTGAAACATTTTCAAATATCAATTCGGTAACGCATCGCTCGAAGGTGACAGCAAAGGGGAACGAGGCGACGGTGGCCACCGTTGCCGCTGTGGCCTTAAAAAAAAAAGGGGAGCAAGAGAGTATCAGCAATACCGCGCCAGCTTGGAGATTGGTGGTATGAAATTCGGAACCAGGGCTCTGCTGCAGCAATAGTTGGCTTCATACAAATATTCGGCAAAGTGTAGGATAACAACAGCAAAACAAGCCTAACCCAGAAGATTCCGATGCCCATTCTAGACACGAATACATACCTCTACCGCACAACCTTTCAAGTAGCTATTCAACGATTTCTTGTCGAATGCTAACTGTTCGTCGGTCAAAGTGGCATTCAAATCCATGCCAATGTGGGAGGACAAGTGTGTTCGTACATGTTCGCGAGCACTCTGCTCCGCCATCAGTGCGAAGAGCTAAAGATGTGGGTCAGAAGATGTCAACGTTAAAGAAAATGCGCGAAAATGAGCTCGAAGACGTGTTCATGAATACGCAGAGCAATATACACTTTTCAGCATCTCATGGTCAAATATAATGACTACAACAGTATATGATACTGAGATGCCACACACGAGTCGTCAAGAGAAATCGTATGACGTTGTGTGCATGCAAGCAAAATTTCTTGCGTCGCTAAACTGAGGACAACTACTGCCCTGACCAGAGCAAATCAAACTTAAATAGATCTTGACATGGAAACGCACTTAAAACATGCTTGCCACACAGTTGTGACTCTGGGGAGCCGATAGAGCACTCAGCACATAACTGCACTGCCAAAGAATATACGCACCGTATACACCAAACAACTATGACGAAAGTGGTCGATATAGAGCCATCAGAACGACTTCCGCGGAAACGTGAGGCCCGCGTGGGAAGTCTCGCTGACATACTTGTGCACGTACGTTTACACACACTAGTGCTAGGAAATCAGATTATGAATACGCCGCAAAACAGTGCTATCTTCAATCAGACAAATACACACCAAAAAAGTGGAGGTCGGCACATATTTTTCTAGAGCCTCAGGTGGCTTCAGCATGTGAAGCCAATTTGGTATGTTAATATGTTGAAGTTTATACGAAAAGAGGAGAGAGCAAATAATCGACTCATTTCCTCACATATTCAGGCAATCGCTTGACTTTGCTTCCTACGAACGTGTCCAATTGAATATACTACACACCTTTGACGAAAGTGGACGATACAGTGCCTTCCAACCTATATCAGCCTTAAGGTGTCGCCAGTATGTAAAGCCATTCGGCAGATACATTGCCAGTTTCCTCGTTCCCAGCAAAGAAACTCCTTTCACCTTTGGTACAGGAGGCACTGGCTCGTGGCCCAACTGAATGAGCGTCCGCACTACTTCAAAGGGTAGGGTGGCGATCAGGGGCAGCAAAGTGCCTACAAAGCTGAAATTGAGCAATGACAGCACCTCCTTCTCTTCCACTTCAGTTACTTCGTCATCGCTTGAGTCATTTGCAGTGTATTCAGCTGGCGTTGTATCATCATTTTGTGTGCCATCAGCTGTGTGGTCGTCACCTCCCGTCTTGTTATCGTTCTGGTTGGCGTCACTGTCAAGCATAGTATCATCACCCTCAACCACAGCCTCTTTATAATTCATAGAATTCGCAGCACTGGGGGGGTTCACAGCTGCCGGACCATCGGCAACAACGGGGAAGTCGGCCGCAACAGGTACATCAGGCGCTGCGGTGGTATCAGGCGGGGACGCCATGGTGTCGATTTGAAATAATCACTCTGCTTATTGAATATAAATATTTTAGATTATGATTTTATATGATGATTCATACATTTGTGTTTACATCATTTTATATTTACATACTTTTTTACACTCCGCACATGTTATTTACTTATCGTCTGTGATTTCCATGATAAGCTCCTGTCTGTAGCTAAACACTTATGCGGATACAGTACTGAACAAAAACTTGGCCACAACCATTGACCAAACCAACTTAGTTGCGTACAATAACAATATAACACAGAGCGTACAATAATCCCTAGTGTGCTAAATTACTCGGCGTTCAAGATGGAAGGTGGGTATGACAAAGCGTTCATGGCCGCTGCAATAGGTACGTGACTATCTGGGCGGACAGTGACCATCTAGCTGATTAGTGTAGTAGATCAGCGTTAGCCCATTGAGGACATATATCGTGGAATTATGTAAATGATTAGACGGACTCGCAGTTGCTAACCTTAAAATTCATTTGCATATCAAGATTTGTACGTATATATACGAATTATTGTTTTATACAACCAGGCGTTCTTTCGTGAAGTCCGCTATAAGAGAGCCTAATGTGCCTCGTTAGTTAATGCCTGTTATCCTCCCTTGCAATAAAACCTATTGTGCGCGGTTACGAACCTGTTCCAAAATACCAGTCCTTGAATGCACACTATTCCACTTCCCACGCAATCAACCAGTTTATTTCTCTTTGTCCGCCGATTTAGAACATACTGGGTTAGAATATAGGATGTTAATGAAACGCAGACCTACCTCTCGTGAAGTAAGATGCGGATATTTAGCTATGCATCACTGCTAATTCTATTACTTCGAAAAAGCCTCATAGTGTGGCAGTTAATACGTCTACTATGTTTGAGAGGGTGTGTATGTGTCGCCGTTCATTCTGTTGGGTCTCCTCCACTACTTTGGGGGTATTATCAACATGCGAGCAATATGCCCATACTTATGACTTGGTAGTATCTCTATAATTGTCAGTCTGGCTGAGACCTACTTGTTGGTTCGACAGAGCGGTATCATTTATAGTGTCCCTTGTGCAATTCAAATAGAGATGGCAGAGGAGGCCCTCAAAGCAGGTGAAGTGCCCGTTGGCTGTGTCATTGTACATAAGGGGAGGATAGTCGGTCGAGGACGGAACTACACCAATGTGACGAAAAACGCTACCAAACATGCGGAGTTCATTGCCATAGAACAGGTAATTTGTACACTCCATCATAGAATACGGTATATTTCGTATATATTGGGCTACGAATACCATCGGTTTCATTTGACAGGTGTTGAAGCGATTATCAATCTACTATGCTCACTCTTAACTATTCGGATATAAGACCAGAAGTTGGAAGGCAGAAAGCGAAACATCACACAGCATTAACGAGACGGAAGAATGTGGCATATTTAGAGAAGCTACTTTGTACGTCACCTGTGAACCATGTATAATGTGCGCCGCTGCTTTGAGGTATGTCTATTATCTGCTTCTCCATATGTACAAATCAGATTAGTGTTGCGTTGTGTAATTCCGGATAATCGATCTCTTTTAGGTGACTCTTTTATTAAGATGTCTCCTCCTCTCTTTTATTAAGATGTCTACTCCTCACTGATTATCAGGATATTACAATTTAAGCAAGTGTACTACGGGTGCGTAAATGGACGCTTTGGTGGTTCCGAATCAATATATCGTCTGCTCGACGACGATTTCAATGTGGTATGTTCGTTTTCTCCAGTTCGAGTCTCCAGGAATATGACGTTTTCTCCAGGAATATATAGATAGATACACATATTTATATATACATATACATACATATATATATATATGTTTATATAGACATATATATATATATATATATATATATATGTATATAAATATATAAATATATAAACATATATATATATGTACTCGCAATTAAAAACCGACATATATTGCTTTTGTCACAGGCGAGTTCCGTTGCGGCTCCTGTAAGTAGTGAATTCTCAATTCAACACGAGGCAGGTGCACTCAGACCAGTACCATTCGAGGGCGGATTCCAGTCAGAGGAATGCATCGAACTGCTGAAAGGGTTTTACCGGATAGAGAATCCTACGGCTCCTCAACCAATCAATAAAGACAATCGTTGACAGGGTTACGAATCTATAACGGAAAAGGATATCTTGAAATATGCCCGACGCATGTTGTGCTCACTGCAAGATATGTGTAACAACTACTAGAGTGAACAATTTAAATTCACGAGATAAAAATGGGCCGGTTTAACTCGTAAGTGTGCAAGTTTAGATTATACACTGCAACCTGGGGTATCTGAATTCCAAACTACAGACTGACAAGATATTTTTAATTATCGACCCGTGGGCACCGCCATCGCGTGGACGTTGTGTACGTCTTGTTGTAGCGAATCGTGACAATACATCTGCAATGCCAAACTACTGCAGGAGCGTATAAGACGTTCCTTGGGGGCATGTATCCTTATAAGGGGTACTGCTTCTCGCAGCCAGGGATGCTCGCGTAACTCGCTCGGTTGCAGGCGCTTCTCCGGTTGTAGCGCAAGCAAGCGTGTCAGAAAATCTTGTGCCGTGTTAGACAGACAAGTTGGCGCAGTATATTGTTCGATTGGGAGATGATAGGTACTCACTGCATACGGCAGCTCAACTGTAAGCATAGCGTGTAATGTGACACCCACAGCCCACATCAACACTGGTAAAGCCATGACTTCTTTCCGATGTACATGATATAGCTCCGGCGCAGCATACACAGCGCTGCCCTTCGCCTCCTTCAGTGGTCGTGAATGGACGTCTTGGCTGATGGAGATTAGTCCGAAGTCGCCAACTTTTATATTGAGATCCTTGTCAAGGAATAAATTAGCTGGTTTGATATCCATGTGCACTATTCTTCTCTCACAGCAGTGCTGAAGTGCGCTGGTCAGTTGCCTAATCCATTTCTTCGCTAGCGACTCACTTACAGGACCGTATTTTTCTAAATAGTCCATCACTGTGCCCTTGGTTGCCAACTCCATTATTATATACTGGTAATCACGTGTATCGATGATTTGCTCTAAATTGATGATATTAGGATGTCCTTGCGCCATCTCTAGCGCGCGCGCCTCGGGAGAAGGCGTTGTAGTGAGCTTATTTATGATTTTCGCAGCGTAAATTTTACTGGGATCCGAGATTCGATGTACCCTTACCACGCTTAGCTCACTACAGCCCATTCCAAGTGTCGAATTCTCTTCAATGAAGTAGTTAAAATCTTCTAAATTTGGTGCGGCGGAAATAGGTTTCGTCGGACACCTCGGTGTCTGGTGTGTCGCTGATGCCATTCGTAACATTTTTAGGATTTTGGAATTAAATGAAACATATGTGTGTACGTTGGAGAGACCATCCTAGCGTTTATATATGATCTCGATGTGTGTTTTAAAATTGACAGTACAAATGTTTGTGACAACAGAATGAGGTTATATGCGAATTTTGGGAATTTGTGCATAACCTACACAGTACACACTGACATCAAGTAATTCAGTGTTATCAGATTTCTACAAAAAGATTCGATGTCGTGATAAAGAACACTTTTACAAAAAAGTTTGGAAAGCGAGCATCTATTGTGTACAATTTTATCGATGCATTTGTCACACAGAAGGTTCCAGGAATAATAACTTCTGCCAAGGGACATCCCGAGTTCCCGACCTTGTGTGTTTGCATCTTTTTCTTTTATTTAAAAATACCGTTGTCCATGCACCATAGCGGCATAGCCTTCTAAAAAAAAATTATATATATATAAAATGGCCGGGCATGGGCTTGGGCCTTGGGCCTTGGGGTTATGGACGACTGGGCGTCCGTTTTAATTTTTTTTTACAAAAAGTATAACAATACGACTCACAGGTTGTAATTTTACAGTGTGACTGGTGGCTGGAATAATCACCCACTTTTATTCGGAATCTTGACATATTTTTATATATACAAATTCTGGAAAGAATGTATGGACTATGGAGTATGGACTGTTTTTGAAGTTTACACTCAATTTGAAGCCCTGACCTGAGGCCCTGGCCCCGGAGGCCGACGGCAGAGGGCTCCCTGACTCCTGTGAGGGCTGTGGCCCTTTGAGTCTGGAGCTATGAGGGTCATGAGTTTATGACTCACGGACTCACGGTAGCGTCACGGCCTTATGAGTCATGAGTTTTGAATCATGAATAGTCATGATGGGTGTCCGACTCAGATTCTATAACGGCGAATTACGATTGATAAAATGAAAATCCCTCTAGTATAATGTATTTATGCATTTTTAGACTATAAATAAATAATAGAACTTTAGAAATTTAAAAAAAAATAAAAATAACAAAAAAAAACAAAAAAACAAAAAAGAATGGACGAAACCACAGCCTTCTGAAAATTAAACACAAACAAACAAAAAGAGCCTTCTCTCTTCTCTCTCTCTCTTGACGAGTGTGCAAATAAAACCCTAAACCCCAAATATTTTCATACCTTTTTGAAGAAGGCTACATATGACGAAACATTGTAAAAAATTATCTAAATATTCATAGCCTTCTGAAAATAGAACAGAAGGCTACGAAAGATTATTAGATAAGCTCACTTTGTTTACGCTCCCGGGACCCGGAGTCCTAGGACCTCGCGGGCTGGGGAATCGGACCCTGATCCCTGGTCCCTGGACCCTGGACCCTGGTCAGTGTGAGTCGGAGTTCCTGGCTCCTGACAAAGTGGTATTTATTATAAGTTAATTGTGAAATGTGATCTGGCCTGATGCCTGTGGACATATTTTATTTATTTTTTTATCTACTCCAGGATTCTGTTTGATTCAATTCACATGAACTATTTGTACTCGAATATTTAGACCGGAAGGAAAGCGAGCTCAGACATTACCCATATCCACCGTGACAGCAATTTCCAAGGGATAACGAAAAGTAAAGGTAATAGAACCTAAAAAAGCGCAATTGCGACTACAAACAAGGCTAAGGAAGTTGGAACACCTCATAGAGGCTAGGCTGTATTCACTACTCTGGTTTCCTACACGTTTCATCTTCAGTCTAAATAAACTAAATACCAGCTGCCAGCCTGTCTCACACAAGAGTCCAGACTCCAGACTCTGAGTAACCAAACTCCAGACTCCAGAGTCCAGAGTCCAGACTCTCCAAGCCTGTTATCAGCTGCTGAGGTTTTACTCATTTACTGAGGCCTCAGGGCTCAGCGCCCGCCGCCCAGCCATGAGCCAACCCACACTCCCACAGGCCCACAGCAGCGCCAGCCGCCCACGGCCCAGCGCCCAGCGGTGGTTTTATGCATTTTTTTATTCAGATATCAGTTAGACAGCTGCTGACACTTCATGTTGACCGTAAATACATATTTAGCTTCACTGATCTGTTGTCTGTAGGAGTGTAGGACTGTAGTCTGTAGGGCGTAGGCCAGTATTATTTTTAGCGAGTTTCTATTAATATGTATGTATGTATGACCTTTTCTAAAATAGACCAGTACGCAGTGACTATACATAAAATAGTATGTTGCATATTTTACAAGTTAAGTATATAATATAATATATGTATATATATATATATTTATACATATATATATATATACGTATATAGAAGCCTATCGATAGTCCATATCTAAAATAATAAATACACAATATTTGTTTTTTATTAAAAAAAACCACAAAACAGAATGTATAATTTAGAGGGCTATGAAATGTATCATACTTTTTACATCTTTGTTTTACTACATACATACTCCAAATTCTATTTATAGGCCCCAATTCTAGAATTTCCAGTTGACAACAGAGTAAATATTCTAGTAATACAGACAACCACAACTGATGAGTAGTCAATAGGTGTTCAGTAGGTACTACTCTATTAGAGAGACTCTTAGAGTCTATTGCCAATCCTTGTGAAAATGAAATTGTAGTGTAGACAGTGTAGAGAGTGTAGCCACTGTAGAGAGTGTAGCCACTGTAGAGAGTGTAGCCACTGTAGACAGTGTAGACAGTGTAGCCACTGTAGACAGTGTAGAGGGTGTAGCTACTGTAGACAGTGTAGAGAGTGTAGCCACTATAGACAGTGTAGAGAGTGTAGCCACTGTAGATAGTGTAGTCACCGTAGACAGTGTAGAGAGTGTAGACGGGCTGAAGTACTTTCGCCAAAGTTATTGGTATGAAATAACATCAGCAATCTATTGGCCCGTACCGACTTCTGATGTGTTTCATATAACGGGGATGCGATAACCTCCCTGATATTACTTCATATTGGCAGTGAAATGGAACTAGTGATCCACCATAGCCTACTAGCCAAGCTTACTTGCCTATCTATTTACTATTTCTCTCAGAGCGAAGGCTTTAGATCCACGATATATATTATACCTTGAAATGGTATCACTGTTTTTTTAATAAATATTTTGTGAAGAAATATTTTGTGAAGAGGCATCGTTTTGCAATATTACAAATGTTACTATAAAATGTACGGGGTACTAGCTGAAGCAAATTTAATTGTGATATACAGCTTTCGCCACGATATGTTGTATTCATCATAGCTGAGGATCACAAAGCTGCCCTACGGAATACTGACTCAATACCACCTTTAGGAAAGCTGAAGCAAATTTAATTGTGATAAGCAGCTTTCGCCGCGATATGTTATATACATCATAGCTGAGTATCACAAAGCTTACAGAGATATCATTTTGCACTCCTTCATTTGAGCCAAGGTTTATATTTTTGGCTAAGATTTACATGTTTTTCTTTCTGCACGTAGGTGTAGTTGCGGTTTTAGATATTATATATTTGTGTGAACAGGCAGCAATTTTTTTGCCGTTCATCAATTCGTACAGTTTGTATAGATGTACATTCCTGTGATAATTTACGATACATGTCTATTTATGAATTTATCCTGTGATAATATACGATACATGTCTATTTATGAATTAGTCTACATTTATGAAATTCATGTTTGAAGATTTACAATTGTAATTTCGGTTCTTTTAGCAATTTAAACTATTCATTGTATAGTACAGTCACTCGTATAAATATATAAGAGATGCAGCTTAATTTATGTTCACGAAACCGCCCCACCTCGACATACGCCGACAGATAAGCATCGACCTTCATATAGAGTGGCCAGTGAGAGTGCACCTGTCACACGACTACGTATTTGTATCAGCGATTCCGCTGACGTAGCTACATATAACATAACTACTAGAACTATTGCTACAATGTATGATTCATTTTAACGTCTTAGAATATTCGTTTCGCGAATGAATATTAGTCTAATAGTTTAATATATACAACGAACGTATGCATATAAATTCAACGTATGATTCTGACAGTATATCTCTGCCCTCATACGCTTCCACGAAAATAGAACTGTAGTGTATCCGCATGCTCGCACCAATATTCCAATGCCTATCGCCAAGGTCGCGACTGTTGTAAACACCAAGGTGACAGTGAATCTGTGTCACCCGTTCATCTGCTTGATGAGACCCGAATGATTCATACACCTATCAAACACAACTTAAAATTAATATCTCATACGTGAATTGTGCCCAATCGCCGAGTAAATACAAAACGCAGATAGAACTCTACATGGAAACTTACGTATTTTTACTCGAATATTGTACTGTACTATCCTCACGAGTCCTCGGTCAGTGTGTGCAGGTGCCGCATAGTTGGCCGTCCGTGCGGACAATTCCACGGCAAATTGATCTCGCCCATGTGCACGAGCATCTCCTTCATCTTCCGCTTTTTCAAAGCCGTCCCGATCATGATACTTTTCCTGCACGCACGCATAGCAAACATCTTGCGCACTTTTGTGGGCCTACAAAGCACTCCTGGCGTGTCGCTGAGTGTATGAATCATTTCTTCGACGTCTGATACACCAAACACAGTGTTCTTAGAATTCGGTACAGCGCTGAGGCGGACGCGACGACCTATCATTGCACCCTCGCTATGGTGACAAAAGAGTGTCAGAGGTCAGGAAAAAAAGTACAATCCATCATTTTTTTGCAAATGAAGTAGTCAAATATATTATGTATACACTGATATTAATCTTCGAAGAGTCAGAGACAAGAGTAAAATATATCAATAGTCCATAATATACAAATTCGAACTGTTCTGTTCTTGGCAATGGTTATAATGGAGATTGCAGATACACCCTACACAACACACCTTTGGTCCACAGTAAATCGAAATCCATTCTTCTCGAATATTGGCAGCTCATCGAGGAGGATCGATTCCTATGAAAAAAGGCCCATGTAGGCAGTATAGTCGCATAGTTAATAAGTGTCTGAAACGTTCGTGTGGATGAACATTAGCAAACCAAGTCGGCTTGGTAACACTTTTAGCGGCTAAATCACCAGTTGTGTTTATGCTTGCGGTTAAATTTGGTTTTTAGGAGAATGTACTAGGGGTGCAAACGTCCACCAATGTGCCTATGATCGGATACACTGATACGTGTGAGAAACCACTTGTGCAAGGGTTCAACTTCCCTGTTGATTCACTATATGGATGGTGCTACAAAAGGATATACATACAGCTACACGATCTTGTAGTTAATACATCTAAGAAGCCGCGTATATTCAACTTCAATCATATATATAGTAGGAAGGCAAAAACAGAGGCATTACCGCTCGCAATATGATTATCCACCGATTAACTCTGAACACGTTGCGTTGAGTTAGGATGCTTCTTACCTTTTGGCGTGCGTACAAAAATCGAGCTTCAATGCATACCTGGGGAGCTGTCAGTTCGAGTAACTTGGGGACCACCATTGGCTGCGATTGTAATTTAGTTGTAGTTTGTAGTGTTTCGAAGTTATAAATCTCATCAGTCGCATGCTGATCGATGATGAATAGGTCGTTGCGCAGCCGGGCAATTATGAATCCCAGATTGAACTGTCCAAGTACTTCCATCTGCGAATAAGGAGGTTAAAAAAATTGGTACATTACTAGAGGGTCAATAGATAAGGCACGTATAGATAGATGTCGGGACATACGCTAAAATAGCCAACAAAGAATAATTTCATTCATTTAGAAGATACTTTTGCAATATTAAATAATAATCAAAACCAGCATTCATTCCATATAATTAAATATCTACAGTCAAAAAATATTCTTTCTCTTATGTGCACACAAATATTTTAGTATTAGTTTGAAGATGAAATTTATGTGAAAAGCATATGTTATACCTCTTCAAATATTCTACACGAGTGGGCTCGTATGGAAAGACTACATAGTTTGTGGCCAGCGCCTTGTGACTGCCCCGCCCTTACTATGCTTCGTATATAGAAACGAAGACGAACCAGAGATTCAATCTACCTACATAGCTCTAAAAGGATTCCATCTACCTACATAGCACTTAAAGGATTCCATCTACCTTCATAGCTCTAAAAGGATTCCATATACTTACATAGCTCTAAAAGGTATATACACTGCGAGCTTGTCATACTTCTTACGTCACTGCAAATCATCATATACAAACGGGCGGTTTGTGTGTCGTGCTTAGCAATTCTTCCCAATTACTATCCTCGTTTACTTTCACTGATACTGACTATGATAGAAGTTCTAGGCTATACATACAAAAATATCACGCAATACCTTCACAAAATCTTCTTTTGTTATTTGTCGCTCCAGCTCAGCCTCCGCAGCTGTGTTCTCCCCTGGGGCTATTTTGGCTTTAAATTTTCCCTTAAGAGTCTTCTGTGTTCCGTCCTCATTCTTCTTGGCCGCTTCAGCTGAAAAGAGATAGCATATTGATGGTTGATAGGTGCTTGCAACATAAATTGTGCAATTAAATGCAAACCAGATGGATGAAACAATGGCACCAGTGTTGAAGAGTTAGTTTAAACGAATAAACTAACGAACAAGCTATATGATTCGGAATACTCAGATACATTTGCGATGCAGTAGTTGAATATCCGAACACTCTTAGTAACGATCGGCAACTATACATGTTTTTTATTTCTGATTGCACACTTCACATGTAATTGAAAATGCAGGTGGTGATTATTTACAACACCTTACTATTCGCAAATATTTCTATATACTTAGCCGTACATATGCCCGTGTACTTGGCATGATGTGTAGCTCCTAGATCAATGTAGCGCCACAAAAGCAGACCACCTTCCTCAATGCGAGTGCTCGTAGACTGGCTAATCAAATTCTAGTCAGTAACACTGCTATAGCTCCTAAAGATATAACTTCCTGTAATATTGATCATACGGAGGAGTCACAGATGGCAAGCTCCACAAGCACACATCGTAATCAGCGGGCAACCCCTCAGCGAAACATTCAGGTGCGAGAACAACTTAAGCGTATAGCAGACCAAGAACAAAATTTGAAGACGTCGACGGCTCTTTTACATAAATTTAAATGCAGTTGTTTCGAAGTTTTGTATACGCTAAGCATTACGCTAAGCATTCAAAAAGTGACTCCAGTCATCGATCAGTTCGTTCATCCTCCTCTTCCGGCCGCCATTCAAGTCCAAACATATATA